TGCTCTTCTCTGGACCTGCTCCAGCACCTCAATGTCCCTCCTGAACTGAGGGGCCCAGAACTGAGCACAGGACTCAAGGTGTGGCCTCACCAGCACCAAGTCCAGGGGAAGAATCACCTCCCTGGTCCTGCTGACCACGCTGTTCCTGATCCAGGCCAGGATGCCATTGGCCTTCTTGGCGAGCACAGCACACTGCTGGCTCATGTTCAGCTTCCTATCTATCCAAACTCCCAAGTCCCTTTTTGCCTGGCTGCTCTCCAGCCACTCCCAGCCTGGAGCCTGGAGCGCTGCATGGGATTGGTACTGCCAAAGTGAAGGCGGTTCTTTATTTGTAAGCCAGAACAACACAAGCAAACCCCAACCCTGCTGATGACAGCAAAAAATGAATCCGCTTCCTCTTTATCCCATAAAAAATAATCCCACACCTTTGAAGGTCACCACCTCGCCAGTCTGAGCCTTAGGGAGGCCTTTCTGACACGCATCAGTGGTTAAAGCCAGTGTTACTCCACAGCTGCCCAAAAGAAACCCGATCTGCTGACTGCCAGCATCCTGCAGGGAAACCAAGTCATGGCAAAATTACAAATAATGCAGATTTTGTACAGTTTACTGTAACCTCTCCATGTTTAGCAAACATTGAGTCCATTTATATCACAGGCAAAAACAAACACTTATCCCATAAGACCTTTTATGGAAGTCAAATGACTGAGAAGGCTTAGTTTGCTTAGTGCCAGTGAAGGTTTGGCAGCAGTTCTGGCAAGCAAACCAGTGTCAAAAGCAATGGTAGTGCATCCCCCTCCAACCCAACAGAGATGTTTGTAAATTCTGGTAAAATGGGAACCTGGTTTGGTGCTGCTTCTGAGTCCTGGAGCACTGAGGAGCAGAGCCTTCAGCTTTTTAGCTCTTTTCTAAGAATCTCAGTGTGTGAGGGATTATACCTGTATTTCCAGTGACTGTGGTGTCTCTGCCTGCTCATTGCTCAGCATGGGAGCCAAGAAGACAACATTTCTGTGATGTATTTTGAGAAATACTTCCTCACATCTTTTCCAAAATAATGAAATAATACACCTGTAGCTATAGATCCTAAACCACTTATTAGCTTCATCCTATTTCCCCTAGCTAAAAAGTATATTTCTAAGTAGAGAATGTGCACTGAGCAGTTCAACTGAGGGGTCCCATAGAAGGATTTAGGAGTCTCAAGTAAGATTTAGGGGTCCCATGTAAAAATTTAGGGGTCCCATGGAAGGATTTAGGGGTCCCATTGAAGGAGTTAGGGATCCCATCTAAGGATTTAGGGATCCTATGGAAGGATTTAGGGGTCCCAAGTAGGATTTAGACACACATCCTCCACCCACACTTTATTTATTTACCAAACCCTCAAAATGCTGAATGCATTTGTCTACCTTTCTTGTGAGTGGAACTTCTATTGGGACAGGAATAAGTTCTGCCAGGAGACATCCATAAAATGCCACCATGAACATAACTGGATCACTGTTAGGAAATACGAGAGCTATCTAGAAAAATACAGAAAATAAGAAGAAATGTGATATTTTTACACTCGGCAGGGCTGGGGGAGAACTGCTTTTTAATTTGTGAAAAAAAATCTTCACACCAATATTCAGGTTCGTATTTAAACTAGGAACAGAAATGCTAAATACTGCGATATTGTAGTGCTACAAGTCACTGTAATGATTATGTCACAATACATTATTACAAGGCTTTCTTCAGTTAAGGTTGTTCCTCACTATTTGATCCACAGGGATCACTTCCAACAGCAGCCTACCCGGTCTCCAGGCTTCACCAGCTTCACACCAATATTCAGGTTCGTATTTAAACTAGGAACAGAAATGCTAAATACTGCGATATTGTAGTGCTACAAGTCACTGTAATGATTATGTCACAATACATTATTACAAGGCTTTCTTCAGTTAAGGTTGTTCCTCACTATTTGATCCACAGGGATCACTTCCAACAGCAGCCTACCCGGTCTCCAGGCTTCACCAGGGGCTCTAGTGGTTAGTTTTTTTTTCAGCAGGGTATAGGCTAACTTCAAGCTTCGACTCCACAGCTTGCCTGAAGACAAAAGAAATTCAGAACCAGAGGTTAAAATTTTAACAACTAATTGGCAATCTCAGGGCTTTGCATACACACTAAGCACAACAGCTGTACCAGAATAGCTGGCAGAGAATCCAAGCACAATTTAGAGCTTGGCTTCTTTTTAGTTTACCTTTTCCTTTCTTTTTTTTTCACATGTAAAACTAAACATGATACTCTAAACAACTCTCCAAGCTCCACTGCAGAGTCATTCTATTAATGCAGCTGTTTAGCTATGTTTCCTGCATCCTTCAATTGTGAGAGTGCAAACCACAAAATTTAACACTTGAACATACTACGCAACAAAATGCTGCAGTGAGGTGTCCTGAAGGACACAGTTCTCCTGTTTCCTATTGGGAAGTTCTCAAAAAATACAATTTACTTCAAGTTTCACTTGCTGAATATCCATTTGACGTATAAGTCTTCTCTACAAGGATGTGCAAGAAGATGCCAAAAAGGAACCTCTCCTCTGGGAATCAGAAGAGTGTGTTACTAGTCACTTGTTTCTCCCTCTCAGTTTATTCCAGGTTACTTTTACTGTTCTTTCAAGGAACCCTCTCCACAATTCTTTGAGATTTATAAACAGTCATCCGGAAAGAATCAATATCATAAACATGTTCCCCTCCTTAACTTTTTAAAAGATGTTTTTCATGTACAGCGAACTCATAATTTGCATTCCAATAGCAATCTTGAACCATCTGCCATGAGCACAGGCAGGTCCCACTGCAGTAAAGCAACTTGTTACTCTACAACCAGCTCCTCCTCGGTTATCCCCACCACGTACCATAGGTAAGGGTGTAAACAGCTTTCCCAGTGGTATCCAAGGCTGTCAGACAAGGTGCCTTGGGCTGGGTGGTTCCCCAGCGCTGCAGGGCGGCCAGCAGTGAGGGGGGCCAGTTGGTCACCACCCCTAAGGCTTCCCCTTTGAGTACATTGGTCTGATTTCCTTCAGGCTTTGGTTGGTTTGGGTCAGGCTGTTGCACTAAAACCAGAGCACAGTGAAAGGCAAATGTCAATCCTTACAAAATGTGCAAGTTACACTTCACAGACTGTTCTATGAACCATTCTCACCTTCCCCTTCCACAGACATCATTACTCTCTATTTTAAGATGATGCTATGCCAATCATCTGCTGGCTGCCCAAAAAATAAGCATCATCACTTTAAAGTTCTGGTTCCACATTATGAAAGGAGCAGAATTTGAATCTTTACTTCACTCCTTCTGTTTAATTTGGAACACTGCTATTTTCTGCTGCTTGTTCTTTACATCTGTTTCAATGAAGCCTCCACCAAATTGAGAAGGGTAGTCAGAGACAATGGACTCAGTGACATCTGGACACTGAGTTTTGCTGCACTGAAGGGATGAAGAATGACACTATGCTCCTGTAACAATGTATTTTTGAAGAAAGGCCTTAAGATCCTGCTCTAAGCTTCTCCAGAAGGTGAAGGACCTTGATCTTAGGTAGCAAACCGAAGTCCTAGCTGGACCTAGCTAACAATCTAAGCAGTAAGTAATGGGTCCAAGTGATGCTCTCTACAATGACATATATGCACCTCAATGGAAGTCCACCTAACCCTGCCTGAAGAAACTTCAGCAAGACTAGAATCACAATAGCATCGTATCTGAAAGCATCAAACCAACAGCACAGGGAACCTACTGGCAGCTGCTGAGCAACGTCACACTAACTAGGAGGGTTGAGTTGAAGATTATCTTTCACTTGTGATAACACATGACCTTCCTCTCCCCACTGCAACAACTCTACTGATCTGTTTCCTATTGGGAAGAAATCAACACTTAAAAGATGTACCAGTTCTGTTGTGAACTGGTTAGGCAAAGAGTGAAAAATGTATTTGAAATTAACCTTCTAGCAGTTCTTCAAAATCATCCACAAAAAACTCTTTCAAGGGTGGACGCTTTGGTCTTTTCAACGTGTTTAGCAGCTGCTGGATTTTAGAGGACACTCTGCTATTCACTGGGACACCTGCCAAATGGAAAAGATTTATTACTTGTCATATACTAATAAATACACATTAAAACACACACAGCTTTCAGGTGGGAAAGTCATTCAAGATGAGTAGCTTGCTTGGAAGAACACAACTTTAACCAGTAAGAGTTTCCTCCCTGGATTTATTGGTTTCCAAACACTGCTGCTCCCTGGCTACCTGCCTGATGCAGAGACTTTCTCACACTTTCATTTAGCTTTTCAAACCACTGACCCTTCATGAGATTCCAACAGAAACCTGAAGAATGGTCTTTTCTTCAGGAGTCTATGCATTTGCTACACCTTAATACTCGTTCTGTTCTGAAAGTGTCAGAATGCATGGGGGAAAAAAGTGTATCTTTCAGTATTTTACAGGGCTTGGAAAAACAATCACAACACAAAACCATGTTGAATGCTGATTTGCATTTGTATATCTGATATATTTATTTTAAATTAAATATAAATATGTGTTTCTATATTTATCAGGATTGAGAGTCCTGAGGCAATATAAAGCTCACATGTATGTACACATATATGCAAAGGGACATGGATGGAAAGGAAGGAGGTTTAAAATGCAGTCACCATCTGCAGTTTCCAAAATGCTGCTGTCGTAGGCTCTTGGCACTCCTCGCACCGACGCTACCTGTGGGCGCTCGTGGTGTAGGTGTTCCACCAGGCCAGTGGTCACGTCTGGGGGTGCAGAGTGGTTCTCTGGGGAAATGCAAGACATGGGAGCTCATCAGGCATCTTAAGAACCAATAGAGCAAAAGCTGCTGCTTCTAGCAGGGCATTTCCCAAACCCTCACATACTCACAGGGGCTTGAGAATCACCTTGTAACACCTGGAGGCAAAGCCTGCTTTGTTTGGAGCCGTGCCTCATTCCCTGGCTGCAGAGCAATGCTTAGGGAATGTCAGGGAAATGCAAGACATGGGAGCTCATCAGGCATCTTAAGAACCAATAGAGCAAAAGCTGCTGCTTCTAGCAGGGCATTTCCCAAACCCTCACATACTCACAGGGGCTTGAGAATCACCTTGTAACACCTGGAGGCAAAGCCTGCTTTGTTTGGAGCCGTGCCTCATTCCCTGGCTGCAGAGCAATGCTTAGGGAATGTCAGAGAGTCACAGACTGGTTTGGGTTGGAAGAGACCTCAGAGCTCATCTCAACCCTCTGCCGGGACACGTTCCACCAGACCAGGTTGCTCCAAGCCCCATCCAGTCTGGTCTGGAACACTCCCAGAGATGGAGTAGCCACAGCTTCTCTGTGTTACCTGTGCCAGTGCCTCAGCACCCTTACAGGGAACAATTTCCTTCTACTATCTAATCTAGATCTGTTCTTTTTTATTTGAAAACTCTTCCCCCTTGTGCTGTCACTAATTGCCTGTGTAAAACATTGCTGTCATTCCAAAACTCTAACCCAGATTATGGAATGGAACGGTTTAGGGAATTGCAGTATCCATGAGAGGTGTTTGAACAACAGAAAACAAGAATTGAAGGCTGAAATACTCAGAATCCTGATGAGTAAAAATAGGAATGCAGCAGGGAAGAGCTGGAGAACATGCTGCTGCCTGGGGCTGGAGGAGCTGCCTCTGCAGCCATAGTCTTTCTAGGGCTTCAGCATGCCACAGATCCTGCTGGAAGAACTCCAGGCACAGAGATACCCAGACAGTGCTGTGAAATACATGATCCCTGACTTTGAGGCAGCAATGAGCACTAAGACAGTGACTACTCACAACAGTAGTCCCAGACTTCAGAGTTAATGCCCAAGCCACCAGTCCAGTTCTGAGTGATTTTAGAGGGATCACCAGAAGACAAATTTAACTCCAATCCCATTCTTTCTAATGCTCCTCACTGCAATGCCAATGTTTGTATGGCAGAGACCACTAAGCAAGGACACCCCAAATTTCTTTCATGTGGGTAAGGTACATGAAGGACAAAGTGTCACTTCACCTCTCGGACAAATGCCCTGGAACCAGGAACCACAAAAGTGACAACTGTGTGTAAAGCTGAGCTGTATAACCATTGCACAGGCCCTGCAGACAGCCCATGTACACAGGGGAAACGCTCTCACTCTGTTCTATATATTTTTGGAGTTGCTTTTTGGTTGGTTTGGGTTTTTTTTCCCCCTTAGCTTTCCCAAAGTCTCATAAGCACAAACCTCCCTCAGCATACAACTTAACCCCAGGAAGGGCCACAGAGCCAGGTGTACCTGATTTCCATGCTGCAGTATCAGCCCAAGAGTCCCCACTTCTCACCTAACAAACCCTGCAGTGATTAGCAATGTCTGTCTATGTATGGAGAAAAAATAAGTTCCATTTTCAGGATTTATGCTCGGATAAAAATCACATGAGCCTATTTAATTATCTGGGCATGCAATTAGTCTGTATCATCCAAAGATCCTGTGGCACAGCAGGGAGAGAGAAGTGTTAAGGAGTCAAAACAGAAGTGTGACCAGCCTTGTGACTTCAGCGAAAAATGTTGCTCGGGTTCAGACTGAAGGACCTTCCTGTGAGTGATGAGAAGACAGAGATAAATGCAAGTGAGCAGTGTCCCAGCACAGAACTTATGGGATATGACAGAGAACTAAAAGCCATGGCAACCCATATTTCTAGTTACTCTAAGAGCCAAGGTGGGGCATACTCCACAGCTGAGATGGTGATGTTGGAAAAAAACAAGGCATACTGCAGCCTTATTCATGTTTAAAAAATACTACACTGAAAGAAAAAAAGGCCCAAACAACATGCAGATGTTGTCCTTGCTTCTATAGGTGAAGACAAACAGCTTAAAAACTGCACATTCCTATCTGACTCCATTAAAAACTGTAACCTTGCACTTGCAGCACTGCAGTTTGCTCCCTGGGAGCTCAGTCTGAGCTTGCCATTAAAAGTGCAGGCTGGGAGGATTTGCTGCAAGGGAACAAGATGCTAAATTTAAACTCCCCAATGTCTCAAAATTGTGAACAGCTCTTGAGTACACAACCAAACCACAGAAAGTTTCAGTCGGGCACAGTGATTAAAATATGTAAGATGCCTTTTAGATTGCTGATGTCGGCACTTTATGTGAAGGGAAAAAATAAATTATTCCATGTTCTAGGATGAATCAAAGTCCCTTTTGGAAAGTATGTAAGTATTTATCGAGAAGCAAAAAGCTGGCAGTGTAAGAACTGAGTAAGTTTTCATATTCTTGTGAGCATGGAAGATTACAGAGACAGGAAAAACGTCCCAAATGAACTGATGTTGGCCATGCATGAATGTTACCAAGCTAGGAATGAAAACCGATGGAACATGGCAAGCATCCCAGAAATGAGGAGTATCATTCTTTTGCAAAAGGGCATCTTCTACTTTGCCAAAGGAACTGGAAATTTTACCTTTCTAGATATATTTAGCAGATCAGCTCTTAACGATCCCTGAGCTTCCTTCCTGGTAGACAGATTGATTGCAGCTCTATTTCCCACTGGTGAACTTCAGACCGGCACACAGTCCAACATTCAGCTGCCTAAATGCTGCACTCTGCACTCTCAATCAGGCCTTGATTTTGCATACAATGCTGTGGGGTAAAAAGTCCTGATGGATAGGTCTTAAGCAGCTGGTTGTGAAATTCGGTATGTATTTATCCGGCCTGAGAAATGAGATCTAACAGGATGCTGTGTGACATTTTGCACATCTTGCAGGTTTTTATGGTTGCATTAAGAATTTTATCCATCACAATTAAGACTGAAAGGTTTGCCATAATTGGCTTTGCGATTTTAGGGAGTTAAACATGATTAATTCCTAATGTGAAATGCAGAATGGCTCAAAGGTGTTGATGTATTCCATCTTACTTCTATTCACTAAGGTCAAACAAAACTGCAAATTTCTCATTATAAATAAGCTTGGAAATGGGAATATGAAAATCACAGATTCCTAGAATTTAGGGGTTGGAACGGACCTTACAGATCATCTAGTCCCAACCCCCTGCCCTGGGCAGGGACACCTCCTCACTAGATCAGGTTGCTCAAGGCCTCATCCAGCCTGGCCTTGAACACTGCCAGGGTCAGGGCAGCCACCACGTCCCTGGGCAACCTGTGCCAGTGTCTCACCACCCTCACAGGGAGAAACTTTCTTCCAATATCTAACCTAAACTTCCCCTTCTTCAGTTTGAACCCATTACCCGTTGTCCAATAACTGCACTTCCTAACACTGAGTCCCTCTCTGGCTCCTTGTAGCCCCTTCAGATACTGAGAAGTTGCTCTGAGGTCTCCACACAACCTTCTCTTCTCCAGGCTGAACAGCCCCAACTCCCTCAGCCTGTCCTCACAGGGGAGATGCTCCAGTCCTCTTAGCAACTTTGTGGCCTCCTCTGGACTTGCTCCAACAGTTCCATGTCCTTCTCATGCTGAGGACACCAGAACTGTGTGCAGTATTCCAGGTGGGTCTCATGAGAGCAGAGTAGAGGGGAAGGATCACCTCTTTTGACCTACTGCCCACACTCCTCTGGATGCAGCCTAGGACTGGATTGGCTTTCTGGGCTGGGCTCACACTGCAGCACATGGTGAGCTTCTCATTTAAAGGGTATGCTCTGTACATCCAGGAAAAAATTTCCAAGTAATCAGTACCTGTGATTTAATTTCCTTCCCAAAGATTCTGGGTATTTTTGTAGTCTTTTGGGTGTTTACCAACTGAGTCATGCTTGAAATCCATGACCTGACATTGTTTAGGGTAAATACATGCAGATTGGAAAGCATGCAGCAAAACCAATATTCTTTTGACATTCTACTTTGGAATCCAGCAAAACTGAACCTCAATTTCTTGGTAAATCAAGCATTTTACCAAGAAGAATGCACATTCAGATCTCATGAACAACTAGTCTGGGTTAAGTTAAACAGACATACATCATACATACCTGGTCTGTGGACTGCACATATTAAGGCTATTTACAGGTATCTCCTGGTGAAGACCTTTGGGATTAGCCCTGCTTTGGTATTTGTAATCTGATTTTATTCCAACCACACAGGCAGGTTTACTAACCTAGCTGGGTGTGTGCCATGAGATCTGCAAGCACAGTGGCAGCAGCGGTGGCAGGAGCTGTATTGGAAGCAGCAGCAGGTTTCCCTCCAGGATGAGATGAGGTGGAAGATGCAGAGGATGAGGTGGAGGAGCCCTGAATGACTCGGTTAAGCCAGGGCTCTACGTTGGAATGGCTCTGGAACGGAGTGGAGCTGATCCGCCCTTGCCGCCGTAACGAGCCCTCATCTTCTGATGCTGACGATGTGTCTGTGATCAAAATAATGATGAGAGGCATGTAACATGGGAATGAGCCAAGACGTGGGAACATGGAGCTGTGCCATGTTCTCCACGCAGCCTTCTCACGTGCTGCACATGAGGTGCATGTAGTAAAGCCAATGGGATATTCACATACACAAATCCTGCTCCTTGCATTTCACGGGTTAATGCAACAACTTCTAGACATTAGAGCTAGGGCAAACGTGAGGCAAAGTTTCAGTTACCTCCAGTATTTGGCACGACATAAGAGTCAAAAAAGGCTTCCACCTCTAGTACTGAGTGCACTCACCAACCTCTTTCAGTGAGCATTGCATCCCAACCCATCCCACCCTATTCCCATCTCTACTCCACTGAAAGATTTCTGTCCTGAACAGGTAAAACATATCACACCCCACCTGAATAAGTCTCATTACATTTTTTGTTGGGCTTTTTCTTTTTATTTTTTTGGGAGATATTCTTCACTTTTTGATTCTTCTGACAAATTATTCTGAGAACTAATGAAGAAAAAGCACCGTGCTCTAAAGTTCCATGGAGAGAAATTCCAAAGCATGTATTTTAAACACATAGACTGATATTAGTGAGTACTACAGAGAAATGCTTCATAAAGCATCTTTTCATTCTAGATGTGTATTTCCTGCTGTTAGAAGTCTGACAAAGGGCTCGTAATTTCATTACCATTCGGTTATTTACAGTTTCCAGAAGTTTCCATTTGGCACACAATCTTTCCACATTTATTATCCACCCAACAACAAATAAAAAACATCATTCTAAATATCAAGACAATACATCCCTGTTGATTTTGAGTGAAAATCACAAACTCTTACTACAGAAAAAAATCTTGCCCTCTTAAAGAGACTGCTGCTTTTTAAGAACTTAGAATCATAGAATCAAGCGTGTTGGAAAAGACTTCCAAGATCATCAAGTCCAACTCTACCATGGTTACTAGACCATGGCATCAAGTGCCACATCTAGTCTCATCTTAAAAACCTCCAGGGACGGTGAATCCACCACCTTGATCCTTTATATGCTTCATGTAAGATAGGGTGTCTGTCACTATATTCTAAGAGTCCCTTTCAGTCATGGAAATCTCATGTGGGTTACACCAGGAATTCTGCAATCTTATTTTTGGCTATTTTTTAACTCCCTGAACACATGATTGTTCAGCTAGATACAAATCCATACAAACTTGTTGAAGCCACATTTAAAAACTACTACTCATCTTGGACAATGTGTTTGTTATCAGCTGTTTCATTTTCTGCTTTTCAAGAACATGTGCATTTCCAACAGCTTCAAAATGATTGTTCTTAAACAAGTCTAAACCCACAAAAATCAGAAATCATTTCATAACAAGCTCATTTAACTCGATGGCATTTGCAAAGTTAAAACTGTAGCTCTCTCATTACTTGACCTTTCCAGGGAAATGTGATGATTTTGGTTGAAAATACCCAAACAACTGATCATTGAGAAGATACAGCTGTGGTGCATCCCCAGTCCTGGGTCCATGTCTCATGTGGCATTTCTGGTTTGCTGCCACAGTTCGAGTTTTTGGCAGCTGACTCTGCTCCTGGACAGAAGCCAAACCAGACCCCTAGTACTTGCAACCTCCCCTTCCTCTTAGACAGAAAGCAAAAATAACAATCACAGGAATATGGAGCAAGATAGGATTACAAACAGCCAAGATTTGAAAAAAAACCCCCAAATCAAACCACCACATTTGCAATCCATAATCACTTCAGAGGAAGGAATAACACCACAGAAAAAGCAAGTTTTGCACACAATACACATTCTGACAATACCTCCATTCCCAGATCCAAAGCCAATAAAGTCTCTCTATTATTTCTAAGCTTTCAGATGTCTGACGTGAACAGAGGTGAAAAAAAATGAACCCTTTAACTGTAAAATACTGTGTATAAAAATAAAGGATCCATATTAAAGGCTTTCTAGCACCAAAACAGAGAAGCAGCGAGGTCAGACCAGTGGTAGCTCTGTGGCAGTTGCAGGGGTTAATCCCTGGTTCCTGGTGTGCGGTGACGGAATGCTGTGTGCTTGGCTTCCAGCTCTTCCTGGCTGGGAGCTGACCCAAGAGTCCCAGAAACCACCACCCTCGGAGCCAGACTTGCATCAAGGCTCCAGCTCGAGTTCTGATCATGGGAAATCTGTGTGGGAAGGATGAGAGACTCAACAGGACAAAACCAGAAAGTACATTAGAAGTTTTGGAAGGATGACTCAGGAAAGCAGTTCCATTACTGCCAGCCAGGAGTTGGGTTTGAATCTAATGCTGTGGCTACAATTACAGATTCACAGAATGATTTGGGTTGGAAGGGACCCTAAAGCTCATCATGGGCAGGGACACCTTCCACTAGCCCAGGTTGCTCCAAGCCCTATCCAACCTGGCCTTGAACACTTCCAGGGATGGGGCAGCCACAGCTTCTCTGGGCAACCACCTTCAGCATAAAGAACATGAATCCAATGCTTCCTTCCTGGTAACTGATGTAGCTTCTTGTCACAAAATTTCAGCTATTAATACCATTGTGTTAATTCCTGCCAACGCAAGGATTTAAGGCAGTGAAACCCTTAAATCCTTGTCTTGGCAGGAGTTAGCACGATGGGACAAGACTAGATGCTCAGCAGTACTTGGGTTCTTTGCAATTTTGGATCTTTCTTGCTGAGCTACCTTTGCACATAAAAGCAGGCCTGTAAAAAGACAATTACTTTTATGGACTGATATAGCTGAAGCAAGTCCCCAGAGTATTTCCCAATGGCCTGATACCCCATGATTCAGAATTAATCCAGTGGCTCATTCTCTTAGAGATACAAGGAGATCTCGTAACAAGTCACCTTCTCTTAGAAACAGCATGACAGATCCCAGAGACACTAAAGTCTTCACAGAATATCTGGAGTTGGAAGGGACCCATGAGGAACATCAAGCCCAACTCCAGACTCTGCACAGGACTACCATAAGAATGACACCATGTGCCTGTGAGGATTGTCCAAGTGCTTCATGACCTCTGGCAGGCCTGGGGTCAAGGCCACCTCTCTGCAGTAGTCATGACAAGTGCTGTCAGCACATACTATTTAGAGTGCTGCTGTTCCCTGCTAAAACTCAGTGTGAGCACACTCGACTTCTCTACTGACCACCTGCACAGGCATGTTAGAAGATGACACTCCAGCAGCACAAGCACATGAAATCACACAGATCCCATGGCTTCATCCTGCTCCTCTCCAGCTGCACAGGATGGAGGTTGTACAGGCACACATACACACAGCATGGACTGCAGGGTCAGGTGTGGGGCATGGCCAAGCACGTGCACCATCTACACACCACCAGCCCTTCTGTGTCTCTGACCCTGCTGTTTTCCCCACATGTCCCTCCCTGAGTCTGTGCCTTTCCCCATCTGTGTTTCCTCACCCACACATCCCGTAACAAGCTTCATGCACTTCAAAAATACTTCTGTCACACCCCATACCGTGCCTCACACCCCTCTGCGCATCCCCCTCAGTCCAGAAGGTGCTCTAGTGCTGACTGGTATTAGTGGGTTTCACACCTGGCCAGGAGGGCTGAGGCTTTCCAGGGACAGTCCCGGGAGAGGCTGGGACAGGGTGACCCTCCTCTGAATCCTAAACTTGGGCTCCTGCCTGGAGCTCTTGGTGCTCCTCAGGGCTTGTGTGGATGGGTTTGTGATAGCCTGGTGGCTCCTGGGACAGGGTATTATTTGGGCTGCCCCATCTTGCACTCTCCACACACCTGCACAGGTGTGAGACCAGCTTTTACCACATCACCTAACCCCCCACAGCATCTCTACTTTTCTATAACAGTTGCTCATAAAAGACACTTTTAAGGTACTTAACATATCTTCTAGAAAAAACATAAAGATCAAGAAATAACATACAGAAGAATAGAGAAGGTTTGCTAACTAATACTTGGAGAAGCCACAAACCCAATATACTCAAGTGTGTGAAAATGAACAGTAACAATCCCCGCAAAAAAAAAAAAAAAAAAAAAAAAAAGTGGAATTTCTTTCAATGAGAAGAACAGAAAGGAGAAACACAGCTCAGGAAGCAGAAGGGCAGCACACCAGACCTCCTCTTTTAGGGAAGTGGGGTAAGTACCAGAACTGATGAAAAACAACAGTAGAGGTCAGTATGTTTCTACTCCTGGGCCACATGACAAAAGACAAGAGCACATTCTCAAAACTAAAAGCTTAGGAAATTCTTCCTCTTGTATGCAAGACATGGGACCCCAACCACTTGGCTTACTAGCACATGTTACCTGGAGAAATTTTCTTAACCTCTAGAGAATTCATTATGAGACAACGGGATGATCATTTTTTTCTCATAAAAGAAAGGCATCAAAGCATTAAAGAAGGCATTTCTGCCGTGAACAATCTGAACAACTGCAGCATATACTCTTCTGACTATTTCAAATTGCTCGGAGTTTAAACCATCTGATGAGTGTTCCGCAACTAACTCAGCAACCTAATGCTCTGGTGTATTCTTCAGCTCTTAAAAAAGAATCTTCTACATTGTGAAATGAGGTATTTGCAGCTCTGACATGCTTGCCGAGATTATCTCCTTCAAGCAAGATGTGATGTAAGAGAACATACTTACTGCATAAAAGGCATCTGCTCATTCTGTAATTTCATATGGACCTTTAGCAGCTTCAGTATTTCCACATGAGACACTAAAAATTGTGCGGAAAAGCATCAAAGCACAAATCCAACCAGGACCCGAAATATAGCCAGGAATACAGAAGTTTAGTGCAATCTACTAATAACTTAGCAAACAAAGCATTTGCTTTTTACATTTTGCTACCACATTCATTGGGCAAGGAGGACACAGAATCCCAGAATGGTCTGGGTTGGAAGGGACCTTCAAGTCCATCTCACTCCAACCCCTTGCCATGGGCAGGAACACCTTCCACTAGCCCAGGTTGCTCCAAGCCCCATCCAACCTAGCCTGGAACACTTCCAGAGACGGAGCAGCCACAGCTTCTCTGGGCAGCTCTATTAACTCACTATGTTCACTCAACAGGTACCTGGAGGGGTGTACGTCTCTACCGAAGAGTGAACCAGGACAGATCGCCTCTTCGAGGGCATGGGCATCTTCCGCTCTTTGTATTTTGCAAGTGCTGCTTGTACTGCCTCAGTGTGCACATCTGTACAGAAAACAAACAAACAAAAAAAGGTTAAGAGATTCTGTTTATCAGGACTGAAGTGACACCTCTGTCCCGTTCTCCAACTGCAGACACAATAGTTTCCAAAGTTAAGGGAGGATATAAGCAGCATCAAGGCGACCCATTTTCCTCATGACATCAGCTTGACAAGGCTCTGCGAGCAGCATTTTTGGAAAAACACCCTGAAATCAACACTGAAGTTACAGAATAACTAGTATTTTAGTTCTGAACTATGAGCTATTTTCATTTGGGGGAGGAATTTCAATGCAGGCACTATAAACTGGCAACAGCGTTTGACTTTTCATCCTCAAAACCCACCACGGGACAAGGAGTGCAACATCCATACTTGAAGGTCTCACAAACAAGTGCAAGTAACAAAACACAGAAAAAAGAGGCTAATGATCTTAGAGGTCTTTTCCAACCTTAACAATTCAGTGACTCTATATGAAGAACTAGAAAAAAGACACAAAGTGCAAAAATTACCCTAAGAGGCTCATGCGCTATATTTTAATTTTTCTGATTTTTAAACCAAAACTGGAATTAGAGAAAAATTCAGTGCTCAATCAAAACCTCATTGCAGATAAAATTTAATGTACTCCACTAACTTTTCAGCAGCTTTTTCTCTTTGAACTCTATGTTTCAATGGTGTCAAAAGTTAAAACTTACACAGAAAGGGAATTCATGAGAAGAGATGTTGAGGAGAAATGAGGCAGACCAAAAATAAACTTTAACTTACCACCTAAGACTCAAACTCATGAGAAAACCATACAACATGTGTACACTTACACGGAACTACAAAGGCCTGCAAGTAACTATGTGATTATGCATTGGTCTGAGCACCTTTCTTTTACATCGAAGTGACTACATAAGAATTTGTAACTGCGACTGCTCAACTGGAAAGAAAATATGTATTACAGAATCATTGAATCATAGCATTTAAGGGTTGGAATGGACCTTACTGATCATCTAGTCCCAACCCCTTACTCTGGACAGGGACACCTCCTCACTAGATCAGGTTGCTCAAGGCCTCATCCAGCCTGGCCTTGAACACCACCAGGGTCGGGACAGCCACCACGTCCCTGGGCAACCTGTGCCAGTGTCTCACCACCCTCACAGGAAAAACTTTTTTCAGATATCCAACCTAGACTTTCCCTCCTTCAGTTTCAACCCGTTACCCTTTGTCCTGTCACTGCAGTTCCTAACACTGAGTCCCTCTCTGGCTCCTTGTAGCCCCTTCAGATACTGAAAAGTTGCTCTGAGGTCTCCACGCAGTCTTCTCTTCTCCAGGCTGAACAGCCCCAACTCCCTCAGCCTGTCCTCACAGGGGAGATGCTCCAGTCCTCCTAGCAACTTTGTGGCCTCCTCTTGACTTGCTCCAACAGTTCTTATGTCAAGGACACCAGAACTGTGTGCAGTATTCCAGGTGGGTCTCAGGAGAGCAGAGTAGAGGGGCAGAATCACCTCTTTTGACCTGCTGCCCACATCCCTTTGGATGCAGCCCAGGATTGGATTGGCTTTCTGAGCTGAGCTCACACTGCAGCTCATGATGAGCTGCTCATCTGCTGTCACTCCCAAGTCTTTCTCCTCACTGCTGGTTTCAATGACTTCCATTGACACTTTCATTAAGTACCCAACTCTTCTTGTATTGAGACGCAAATATAGAACAGGTTGATAGACTTGTAGGTCTGAAACTCAGACCGGACAGACACACACAGTTTACATCTAATATAATCCAACACAAGAGAAAAGAACACGCAACTCTGGCCCATGCCTACAGAGATCTACTGTTCCTGGTACTAGCTCTGAACCCCCATTGGTCATGCTCTGCACAAGGCTTTTCCTAACAAACTGCTTCCTTCAGCCTGGCCAAATGGACCCTAAGAACCCCAAGAAGCCTAGGGCATACGGTCCATGACACCAAGCAGCTCTTTGTAGCGATAATGTCACTTTTTGGCCTGCAGATCCCCCCAGAGAATCCACTCAGAGCAGCATTTAAAATATGTGTGTATGCAAATAGATTGTCCCACCTGTGTGTTCTTACAAGACTATGGAATTTCCTAAGTAGATGCTTATCTCAAATAAGAATCTTTTGTGCAACTACCATGCCAGGTTGGAGGATAAGGCTGTTATGAGAGAAAAATATAAAGAAGCAAAAGAATCACTAAACCATCTATCTTTTGTTGATTTTTTTTCCTGGGCTTCCTGTTAAGATTTCTGCTGCTGTCCTTCACACCAAGAACTTGTGAATAGGTGTTTTATGAACTAAAACTTCACTCCCCTCTCCCTATGTCTCTGTGCATCCCTTTCCTACCCCACACATGGGCTTTTTGTCAAGCCTTGGTTTCTCCTGATCCTTAGTTTCAGTTGTAAATGCTTATCACTAAATTTTATTCCCATGGATACTCAGAAGCAAACCTTTTAATGTTCAAAAATTCCAGGAAGTTTAAGCAGGGCTCAACACCCTTCTGGTCTGCTGTGTTACCCAGATGCACTAACGATATTACTGCTATCCAGAGATGAAAATATTACTTCAATTAAAGGTTGCTTTTGCTGCCTTAAAAGCAGGGCCAGAAAGCCCATTCCATAGGACACATTCCCATGGCAGAACTTCCAGTCACAATCAAGCTGCATGTTTGTTGAAAGAGACACTGACTTAGACATGCACTAACTTTCCCCATGCCTGTATCTATATACAATTGCAGTGACATTTTTATAGTGTTAACTATCCGGTAGGAAGGAGGGGAACAAAGCTAAGTGTTTTTCTCCAAAAAAGGGCTTCCAAAGAGTGAAATAACACACAATCTTTATAGCCTGTATATATTATATTAGTCATTGAATAATGCTGCAGATAAAAAAATAGAAGTATTTTGGGAATGGAAAGACCGAGATGAAAAAAAGGGTGTTGTGAGGCTTTTTAAAGAAGTAGAGCAGGACAGGTCACAACATCACATGGATTTGTGGGTGCAAGCATGGGAACTCCTTTTCCTAACATTTCCACAGGGCAAAATCAGAACCACCTCCTCCTCTAGTCCTAACTCCTACTCCAAAACCTGGAACAGACAAGATTAAATGATAAGGCCACACCTTGAATACTGTGTGCAGTCCTGGGCCCCTCAGTTCAGGAGGGAGATTGAGGTGCTGGAGTGGGTCCAGAGAAGAGCAACGAGGCTGGTGAAGGGACTCAAGCACAAGTGCCATGAGGAGAGGCTGAGGGAGCTGGGGGTGTTTAGCCTGGAGAAGAGGAGGCTCAGGGGAGACCTTATCACCCTCTACAACTCTCTGACAGGAGGTTGGAGTCAGGTGGGGGTTGGTCTCTTCTCCCAGGCAACCAGCAGGAGGACAAGAGGGCACAGACTCAAGCTCTGCCAGGGAAGGTTTAGGTTGGATATTAGGAAGAGATTTTTTACGGAGAGAGTGATCAGGCATTGGAATTGATAGGGTTGGACTTGATGATCTTGGAGGTCTTTTCCAACCCAGCTGATTTGGTCATTCTATGATTCTATGATAAAAACTAACCAGGAGACACTTTGGATGAATTTTTGTTCTGTTCCATGTTTTATTTTTACATTGCTGATTCGACTCATCATTCCTTCTGTACTCATTAACATCTATTTCCAGCTTGAAATCTTTCTTTTAATATCTTGTCCTTGGACAACAGCTGAGCAGGAACATCCTCCATCAGCCAAATCAATGAAGTAATTGCTTTCACTTCCCTGGAACTCTTTGTTCCCATTCTATGCTTCTTTTAAGAGCTTTTCTGCATTACAGACATGATGAAAGAGATCTCACTTAAAAAAGGAAGAGGAATGAAATTATTTTAAAGAAACAGAAGGTTATGGGTACAAACCCTCATAAAATCTGTAAAAATTTGAGTTTAACTGGAGACTGGAATTGCAAAAAGCAGCTCTGTTCTCCTGTTACTTCAACTCTTACAAACACACTGTGGAAGCAATTTTCCATTAAGAACTGTAGAATTCAGTTTTCTTCAGGGAACTAAACAGTCATTAAAATCAGTCCAAACGAGTCCCATTTCTAAGCACGGGGAGCAGAAATGCTCAACAGTGATCACTGAACGTGATGAACAGCAAGCACAGCACTTTATTAACACCAAGAGTATTTGTACCAAAGTGACCAAAACCACATATGCTGCTATCCAAACGCAGAAGAAAGTATTTGGAGAAATATTTCTAAGCTTCTGCACTTCATTAAGCTGCAACTGATCATTGACAATTAATAATTGATGGAAAACATTCTTTTCTTGTGTTACAGTAAGACACATAATGTTCTCTTCCATTTTATCATAGAACCAACCAGGTTGGAAAAGACCTCCAAGATCATCAAGTCCAACCCTACCATGGTTACTAGACCACGGCACTAAGTGCCACATCCAGTCTCATCTTCAAAACCTCCAGGAATGGTGAATCCACCACCTCCCTGGGCAGCCCATTCCAATGCCTGATCACTCTCGCCATAAAAAAAAATCTCTTCCTAATATCCAACCTAAACCTCCCCTGGCAGAGCTTGAGTCTGTGCCCTCTTTTCCTACTGCTGGTTGCCTGGGAAAAGCGACCAACCCCCACCTGACTCCAACCTCCTGTCAGGGAGTTGTAGAGGGTGATAAGGTCTCCCCTGAGCCTCCTCTTCTCCATCTCCTCATGGCACTTGTGCTCAAGTCCCTTCATCAGCCTCATTGCTCTTCTCTGGACCTGTTCCAGCACCTCAACGTCCCTCCTGAACTGAGGGGCCCAGAACTGAGCACAGGATTCAAGGTGTGGCCTCACCAGCACCGTGTCCAGGAGCAGAATAATTTCCCTGGTCCTGCTGACCATACTGTTCCTGATCCAGGCCAGGATGCCATTGGCCTTCTTGGCCACCTGAGCACACTGTTCCAGCACTTCAATATCCCTCCTGAACTGAGGGGCCCAGAATCTATGTATTCTCATTTTCTTTCTTTCTATGAGTCCTTAAGAAAGGATGGGGGAAGAAAACTGTAATAGTCACCCAACCTGGAGAGTTACAGCTCTCGAACTCTCCAGCCATTAGAACAGCATTTTTCATTCCCGTTTGTAGTCTCTGCTCATTTATCAGCCTCCAATTCCTGTCCCTGCCTTAGGCACAGAATGAAGACTTTCTAGAGTTGGCTGAAGAAAAAAATTACTTTTATAGGCTGACCAGTGTCCCTGCTGCTCACACATCTCCAATACCAAGAGCTAAAGCAACCTGCACTATCTGGGTGGGATGGGGAGGGGACCTGGAAAAAGGTTAAATCCGTGGGTTGAGATAGAACATTATTAACTGAAATGAAGCAAAATACCATCACCATCAAAGAATAAGTACCAGTTACTAAGAAGATTAACCCCATCCCAGCTGTAACTCATACAAGGAGGTTTATATTTATCAATGGTATTCCCTGTTGGAATTTTTATGAGTAAAATTTACTGCCTGAAGACCAAAATCTGGGGATGATTAAAAAAAAAATAGTTCATTTAAATGGACAGTTCCTCTGGAAAATTATGAAAAGTGCTTACAGCTAGTAAATGACAGATTGATTGCATAGAAAGGCAAAACTGTTTCACTTGCTTATTTAAGAGTAATTTATATTGATGGCTCTAAAGTACCTATAATTGTTCCAGAAAGAGATCCGTGTTCTAGGAAAATCTGCATTCCTACTCTTCAGAGACATAGGAGAACTGATGAGATTCAAAGAAAGGAAACCAAGAAATAAAAACTGGAAGGAAAGCAAAAAAGAAGAAACAATACACGCTCCACTTCCCCCACAGCCTAAGGAATAAATCAGGCATGAGACTGAGAGAAGGATCCTGAAGCTGGTTATCCCTGACAAAAGGCAATGTGTATCAGCATACAGGAAGTAAAAAAGGCAACAACATCTCTCTCTCCATTGAGATAAAGAAGCCAATCACTAAAGCAATATATCTGAAGAGAGGAAAAGGGGGAAAATATATTGCTTTCGGTAAGTTGTATCGACATTACCTTGCACAGCCACGAGTATAACCTAAATCAAGTCAAACAAAACAATCACCATCTGAGCACACTGAGGCTTGTCGTAGATCACTAATGGGTAAAAGAAATCAAATTTCATGTGTTGCAACTAAGAGCTTTATAAATTTCCAACTGAAGAACTTGTTCTAGACAGCAATACCTAACGAAACATGAGGCAGGGGAGCAGTGATGGGAAATCACAAAAGGATGTGGCAGTCCCCATCAAGGACTACCACCCAAGGATCTCCTGCTGTAATTGTGTTCCTTTTGCAGCTTTTTATTTCTGTTGGTTTAACAGCAGCACATACCACTTTAAATGAATTATTTTCTATCTCATTCATGACTCTGCTTGCAATTTATTTGGAATTTACTTGGTCATGAATCAACTTGGAAATCATGGCTATAATTCAAGCACTAAATCTATTTGTTTTTTTCCAGGAAATATCCAACAGTAGAATTACACTGATAATAAAGGTGAAGTATGAAAACAGACTTAAATAACCAATATGTACTTACTTTTAAACACATCACTTAGCTAATTATGATGCTATGCAACCTTCCTGAGCATTCAGTTTCTTCTTGTGGATGAACATAGGCACCACAAAATCACAGAATCAAATGAGTTGGAAAAGACCTCCAAGAACATCAAGTCCAACCCCACCGTGGTTAATAGACCATGGCACTAAGTGCCTCATCTAGTCTCATCTTGAAAACCTCCAGGGATGGTGAATCCACCACCTCCCTGGGCAGCACATTCCAGGGCCTGATCACTCTCTCCACAAAAAATCTCTTCCTAATATCCAACCTAACCCTCCCCTGGCAGAGCTTGAGTCTGTGCCCTCTTGTCCTCCTGCTGGTTGCCTGGGAGAAGAGACCAACCCCCACCTGACTCCAACCTCCTGTCAGGGAGTTGTAGAGGGTGATAAGGTCTCCCCTGAGCCTCCTCTTCTCCAGGCTAAACAACCCCAGCTCCCTCAGTCTCTCCTCATGGCACTTGTGCTCGAGTCCCTTCACCAGCCTCGCTGCTCTTCTCTGGACCTCCTCCAGCACTTCGGTATCTTTCCCAGGAGCCCATACATACCCTCAGAATACTTAAGAAGTCTCTTTCATATGTCAGTTAGCCCTGAGGAACATACACATGCACCTCAGCTCTATTTCTGGAGCAAGGTTTTACATGCCAGCTGTGAAAACACGATGCAGTGATCACCATTGTGCTGGTTTGAGCTGAAGTAGAGTTAACTTTCTTCACAGAGGCTAGTATGGGGCTA